TAATTATGTCCACCTGTCCAATACCTGTTAATCTCTATGGTAATCACTGTGTACTGGATAACCGTTTTTTGCTGAAAGTTTTGAATGTTATTTTCAAAATAAAGCATTCCTTTCTCTCTCTCTCTCACAGAAGACCTCAACGAAGACGCCTTCTGAAGCGTTGGGCCTAGCTCAGCTCGCCGTGAAAGAGGGTACACATAGACTATTTTGGGTCATTCCAAGGCCATATAGTCTTGGTGGTGGTTGACGCCCACACTAAATGGACTGAGGCGATTCCGACCGGAAACTTCTGTTCGTCAATTACTACAATCAACAACCTACGATCCGTTTTTTCTACTTTTTTAATACCTGAAATGGTTGTGTCAGACAGTTGTCCGGCCTTTACTAGTACAGACTTTATATAATTTATGGAGTAAATGGAAGTAGGCATTTAAGCACTGCCCTGTACCGCACAACTTCAAATGGCCTCACAGAGCGCGCAGTTCGGACAATGAAACACAGACTAGCCAAACAGACGTAAGCGGACCAAAACACGAGGTTGTCATGCTACCGCATAACAACGCGATCTATTCTTCGACGGCGGAACTGATGTTCAAGTGGTAGTTGCGCACACGATTAGATCTGCTTCACGTACGATAGAGTCGTGGAAAAACAGACAAAGATGAAAGCAGCATATACCATGAGCGTCTGACCTCGAGTCTTCGTGCCTAACGAAGGTGTCTACCCGCGACTGGGGCAAGAAGCGAATTGGTGTCCGGCGACAGTTCGAAGAAATGAGAGACAGATAGAAAAATTCGCATTAAAAGCTGGGAGACCTGTGCGCCGACATCGCAACTAAGTTCGCAGTCGAACGAACACGGAAAGTGAAGAATTCGGGAAGTCCGAACTGTTAGCAACTCTTGATGTTGATTCTGACCTTCCGAGGATTTTATATCTACTGCCTACACAGAGCACAGCCCCGCGGGTCGAGGTGTGTTTCCCATCCTCCTAATACCGCGGCCAGCATTAATTTAGGAGCAGAGGAACCATCGACTTAGCAAAGCGGCACAGTGATCGAAAATACCACTCTGACAAGATCGACCCGAATCTGCAAATTCTTCCAACGTTTTTCGGACGAAATTCACTAGAACAGTTGTTTAGTATCCATTATTACCTTTACTGTTCCCCCCCCCCCATTTCCCGATGCTGTCCATTGTAGGGTGGAGGGATGCAGTGTGTGCTGCTTGTACTGTCTAGACATCGCGTCACGTGCGCGTGACATGCGAACGATCACGGTCAGCGTCCAGGCCACCTTTGTGCTAACTGGTGGCCCTCCGGTCCATGACCACCCCGCCATACCACATACCCCGCCGTGTGTCTACATGACTCCCCACTTGCGCTGTCTCCCGTTCTCCGTATCCACCCTGTCTGCAACCAACCTTTCGTTCTTGTATACATAGCATACCTTGCCTCCCCCCCCTCCCCGCCTAATTACACACCAGTGTTTCACACATAAGAGGGTGGAGCACCCATTCACATGCAGCTGAGGAGCCGCACAGAGAAAGGGGCCGGTGGGGCACACTTTCGACTGACGTGAGAATTACCGGTGATGTGGGGTGTTGGAGGTGTTTATGCCTGGTACATGTGCTGATGACGGAGTGCGTGGTGATGTGGTCATGTTTGCAGTGATTTACCGCAGGTTCTCATGAATGCCTGTATGACCGAATAGGCGCATGAACTGGCTGAGTGTCCGTTGGTAGTACAGAAAGCTGAGGCGGTGGTGTATGTCGGTGCTCCAGACACTGGCTCGTCAATGTCTCTGCGATAAATTACGCAGGTGACCGTTCGGACCGATACATGAGGGGAACGTGCAGTGACAGTGTTGCCAGGATAGGTTGGAGAATGTGGGATCGGTTGTCGTTGTGATGCTGCTAATGGTGGGCACGTTGGTCGATGGGGAGTTGATTGGACTGAGAATGAGAGGGATGTTGGCTATCTAAGGTGCGTTGCGGTGAATTCCGCCGTTGTGGATACGCATGTGACCGAATAGGCCCATGAGGTGTACGTATGTGCGTGGACAGTGAAGGCGGAGGCGGTGTGGGCATGCTGGTACTCCAGGTACTGCTTCGCCATTTCCTGTGTGGTGGATTCGCAAGTGACCGACAACGTCAATGGGTGAGATGAGTGTGCGATCCAAATGAGTACAGGCCAGGACCGAGTCCTCACCGCTGGATGTGGGGATGATGAGGGTGGGGGTTGACTGGCCGCCGGTAGTTCTTTTCGGTGGTGGAATTGGGAGCTGTGAAGGTCACCGTCGTCGGCACACAGGTTGGGACAGGGATGATGGAGATGGCAGTGACCGACCTCGGCGGAAATAGGAATACTGAGCATCTATGCCGAGGGTGGTCTTCGCAGAGGCCGCGGCGAGGGTTGGATCAGGGGCGGTAGAAGAGACAGCGGTTGGGGTTGTCGGACAGATGCATTGAGTCCGGAGATGTCCGATGAGGCTGAATGCCCATTGACAGCTCAGGCATGTTGGCGTTGTGGGTCAGGGGCGCCTGTGCCTTGCAAACTTCCCTTTTGGCTTTAGCAGCAGCGACCCGGTTGGCTTCATAGATGGCTGCTCTTCTCTAGGACCGTAGGTCCAGTGCGAGATCTACGCAGGCTGATCTGTAGTCGCTCCAAATAATTCTTCAGGGTGTCCTTGAAACGACGGGTCTGACCTCCCGGTCGGCGAGCCTCCGCGGCAACATTCCCGTAGAAGAATTGTTTTGGTAGGCGCTCGTTGAACATCCTCACCAGGTAGCCCTTCCAGCGTAGTTGCGATTGCCTCAGCATGGCGTAAATTCTGCGGATTTCAGTCCGTTCCAGAACTTTTGCGTCCTGGATCCTATCCGGCCACCTCAGCCTTGGTATCGGGCGGAGACAGCTGAGGTGGCAGTGATTGGGTTTGCGCGCTTGTTTCTGATAGACTGCCCAGGACTCCGCGCCATACAGCAGAGTCATCATGATGGCCGATCTGTGCATCTTTAGCTTGCTGTTCAGGTAGCGATCCCATGACGAAGGCTCGACTGGTGTTCGAGATCCGGTGAGCCATTTCGTCGTCGATCCTGATGCAGCGGGAGAGTGTGCTGCCTAAGTAAGCGACATTCCCCACGGTCTTCAGTTAGGCACGGTTGACGTGGCTGAGAGGAACACTCTGTGCAGCGTTCGGTGGCGGTTGATGTGTTTGAAGTGCCTACACTGCCAAAAACAAGAGCCAACCAATCACTGGAGGCCACGTGCGTTTGCTCGCTCTACAGCGCTGTCATCCTAATCGTGGCGCATCTCCATTGGCTACTTCCCTCTTACCGAAGGGCATTTACCCGAACGCCGGCGAACGACAGTGGGGTGTCATAAATAGGCGTCACCTTTCATCTAGTGGCGACTTTCAGTTTTTTCCAACACACTTTCCGTGGCCGGCCGTGTTTTCTTTGTCTGCCGCTTCGGTATTGGGGACAAGGTTCGAGTGCGTATACGCTCCACGGGCTTTTCACGTACCAGGCCGGGTCATAACATGATGCATGACCACCGGTTTGTTGATGGCCAGACCGAAGTTGGCACAACCGGTGGCGAGGAGGTTCATGCCTCGTCGTGTGTCTGCGTCTGTCGGGATGTTGGACGCACATTCACCGCGAAGGGCAGATCATGGGCAGCAGTCGTAGAGAGACGCATTGAGGCTTGCATGCGCCGACTGTTGGTTCTATAGGCGATTCGAATCCCAGGACACTCATTACGATAGGCGTCCATCAGATAACATGAGGCTGAAGAGAATAGGCGTCCAGTACGCAGTTTTGTTTCACTCCAGTGGTTACCGTAAATGCTTCAGAGTCGATCCCGTTGTCCGTGACGCGCGCCAACATCCCGTTGTGGAGCTGACGCACTGTGTGCGTGAATAGCTCAAGACAGCCGAATTCCTACATTATTTTTCATCGCAAGTTACCATGTCGAAGGTTTTCGCCAAGTCCACAAAAGTATTGTGGAAGTGGGCCCACATTTCCTGGTACTTTTCTTGCAGCTGGCGGGCGGCGAAGACTATGTCGGTGGTTCCGCGGAAACAACGAAAGCAACGCTGGCTTTCTAGGCGAAGTCCCAGTTCGAGATGGCTGAAGACAATACGAAAGATTTCCCGTGCGATTTTGAGAATAGAGATTCCTCATCGGTTATCACAAAGGTGCCGGTTCCTTTTCCGCTTGCAGAGATGAGCGACGGTCGCATCCTTGAAATCGTAAAGAACTTGTCCTCGTTGGCACATCCCCTGGAATAGCGTTGTGAGGTGATCCATCAGCTGGCGGCCGCCGTGCTTGTAGACTTCGGTCAGAATAGTGCCACAGAGTTGATGCACGGCGCAGACGCTTTTCTGGGAGGGCGCAGACACCGCTCGTTCCCCGTTTCCACTTGAGGGAGTCGATCGATAAGGGCTTAAGAGATTGTAGATGGGCGGTTGGGGACACCTCTGATGTGCTGGACCCATCTCTCCAGAATTTGTGATTTCTCCGTCAGAAGCCTTATCCCATCGGAAGTGAGGAGTGGTACGTTTCCTTTGGTTGGGAAGCCGTAAACCATCTTGAGTTGTGCGAAAAATTTTCGGTTTCATTGAAATCGGCATATCCCAGAATCTCCTCGGCCCTGCCAGCCATCCGGGCGTCCCACATCTCCCTCAGTCTCTGCTGCGCGTGGCGGCTGCCGGTGGCTAATGCCGGCAGCGTTGTTGTCGAATCAGCCTGGTTTTGTGGCCGTGCGGTTCCGAGGATATACAAGGTAGTCGAGTGAATAGTGTTCTGCAGTTGACACCCCCGAGTCTCAACAGTGGCGTCTTCATCGGGAGCTGGCGGGTCTTCCACTGGTCGGGTTAGTCTATTCTTGAAATAGAGACAATGAGCGGGTAAATTCAACAAGACAGTATTCAACTTACCTGGAGGTCGCCTACTTTCTGGTCTCCTATGGAACTGCAGCTTGAGCCCCATCTTTGAGATGACGAGATGGTGAATCGTCCATCCATCGGTGTCACACATCGCCTTGGACACCAGCACGTCCTGTCGATTGCATCGCCGGGCGAGAACACAGTTCAGCAGCTGCCTAGTTCGCGATCGGCGGGGAATTCGGGTCGCATCCCTATATGTAGGCAGGCGGAAGAAGGTATTGGTCAGGAGGAGGAGGAGGAGGAGGAGGAGGAGGAGGAGGAAGCGGTGTTCTGCGAAGGTTCTCAGGAGAAAGAGACCATTGCTGATGGAAGCGAACAGGCGAGTTCCGGGTAGCAGTTCAGAAGACGAAGATGCGATCACTGGAACATAAAAATTTATTGGCCTGGCGTTTCGGATTCTCACTCGAACCTTTCATCAGAGACATTCGCAGATAATGGTAATGGTGGCACAAGGAGTACAGTCACAAACGCAGTTGCGTAGGGACGCTATACCGGCACGTTGAGACGCACTGCAGTGAAATGGAAGACAAGGTTGCTGAATAACAATATCTTCGACGGATAATGAGAGCCAATGGAGACCCGCGCAACTTTGCCAACCAGTACATACGAAAACGCCACCAGAGACAAAGTCCAACTAACCCCACATTTTGGCGGGCTCTTCCGTACGTGAAGAACGTCTCCGAATCCGTCAGTCGTCTTCTCACTCAACTTAGAGTTGGGGTTGCACAGAGGCCGGAAGCAACCATAAGGCGCCAAGTCAAGATACCGAAAAACCCACTGTCACAGCAGGAAACGTCAGGAGTCGTTTACCGGATCTGGTGCAGTTGCGAACAAAGCAACCACGTCGAAGAAACTGGGAGATTACTCCGTACGCGAATTGCCGAGCACGCAGCAGCAGTGAGGCGGGGAGACGCTGGCTCTTAGGTGGCATCTCATTCGACCGGACCCGGCCATATTTTCAAATTTCAAGAGGCCGAAATCATTGTATAATCCGACAACCACGTGAGCCGCGAGCTGCTCGAGTCATGATTCTTATGCCCGCAATCCATCAACAAGCGCAATGACCTCCCGTTACCGTATTCCGTGCTGAGATTTTCCCTGGGCAGGGGAGTCAGTCACGTGGGGAGGGGGGGTGAGCAATTATCCCGGTGACAGTGGGCCAATTTTCCGAGCAATCGTCACACCAACACCGAGCACGGATGACGAAATGGCGGCCATTGACGACACGGACTCGGACTGACAAGCCACCGCTGCATCATTTACGACCTCAGAGATGATTGTGAGAGCTGTTAATTATAGCGCGCATATAGTCCCACGGCAGCCACGTGATAAAAATACTGCTTTCCTTGTGTCACCATTACCCTTATCTGCGACTGTCTCTGATGATGGATTCGAGCGAGAATCCGAAACGTCAGGCCAATAAACTTCTTGTTCCAGTGATCGCATCTTCGTATTCTAAAGAGACCATTATCGTTGCAGTCGCCAATCCCATGAGGACCCAGCACAACCTTCCAGTCAACACAATCTGCCCCGATGCGACCGTTGCAGTCGCCAAGGGCAACCAATCTATTCGCCTTTTGCAGAGATGTCGAGATATCGTGCAGGTCCTCGTAGAACTTGCTGTCTTCTCCGTCAGAAGTGCTCATTTGGGTCGGAGGGCGTGGGGGGGGGGACGCGTAGGCGCTGATGATGGTGGAGAGTTGGGATCCTCGAAAACGCAGGCGCAGGCTCATCAATCGGTCGCTGATGTCCTGAGGCAGAGAGAGCAGTCATCCCACAATGTCGTTCCTGATGGCAAGGGCGACGTCAGCGCGTCTAAAGGGGAATGAACATTTTAGTCTGCCAGTGTGAGCGGACTCACTCTGACCGCCAGTTATTTAGGGAGGGGGGGCGGGGGTGAGGACGGAGGTTATTGTTGTTTGTTTGTTTGTTTGAGTGTTTCGACTGCGAGATTTGGGTCTTCCACGCATAGTATGTTAGCAGATGGTATGGTTTCCCAGCATTTGAATAGGGCACATTTTCTAGTTCCTTCCCCAACAGGGGGTAAGCAGTGTTATCCCTAAATAGACTAAATCTATAATAATCCAGTTACCTCAGGGTGTCGGCTTTCGAAAAAACTTATTTTCAGCTGCATGCAAGATCTATACTCTGCAAAAAATGCCTACTTATGTAGCATGCAATTTTCTCATTGATTTTCGATGCCCTTGAAAATTCAATTATATTTTGCGGAAAACATGCATGAAAGCATTCATTCTTTTACTTATTCGGTAAAAAAATCACGTCTTCTTCCAATTTCATACTCAAAAGAAGAGTATAATTCGGTTTTAAAAAAGTTTCCAATTGTGAGATTTTTTAATACCATTGAATGGCCTTTCATGAAGCGTCATGTATCTGCATTTACGAATGTGGCTTGTATAGTTAACAATATTGCTCAAATCCACTGTTTAATTTTATGAAACTCATATGGTCTCCTCTTAACACCGTAGAGAAATGCATGGTTTTCCGTAAATGGACAATATACAGCTTGTAGTTTTGAAACCCTGAATGCAAATGTAACAGCAGGTCGGGTTCAAAATTATTCGGGAATTAGAAAAGTATTTTAAAACCGAATTAAACTCTTCTTTTGAGTATTAAATTGGAAGAAGACGTGATCTTCTACCAAATAAGTAACAGAATGAGTATTTTTATGCATGTTTTCCGCAAAATATAATTGAATTTTCAAGGGCATCGAAAATCAATGAGAAAATTGCATGCTACTTAAGCAGCCATTTTTTGCAGAGTATAGATATTTCATGCAGCCGAAAATAAGTTCTTTCGAAAGCCAACACCCTGAGGTAACTGGATTATTATAGATTTATGCTGCATCATGATTCGTTTTACAACAGTACTTAATTTATCTTTTCGAAACGAGAACGCATTTCGAAATTTTGGTTGACATTTTATGAGTTAGCACATCTACTGTACACCTGACATCTGACTGGCTCCGCAGACTTGAGGGCTAAAACGGTCTCCTTATCGATCCACGGTGTAGCTTCGCGGTGGTGAACAACCTAATTAATGGCCATAACGCAGACACACTGACGCATGCGAGCACTTACGCACATGAGGGCCTAGTGTGTGCGCGCGAGGCTCATGCCTCGGAGAGTCATTGGGCATGCTACATAAACACACCTGAATAAAACCCACCCCGACCGGACCCAGAGCCGTCAAACACACACACACACTGTCGAGTCACACAGATTAAAGTGGCACAGCAGGCGACATCTGAGGGCGGTTGCTGCGCTGGTTTAGAACTGAGTCAGTTAACAGAGCGCGACAGCGCTGCTCGGACTTTGAACATTCGACGTTTGGAGCGGAAGTGCGCGCGGACGTTAATCTCCCCCACGTTATTCGCGTGCTGGCAGGAAGGCTACCTGTGGACGCCTAACCGCACGGACCGTTTTGCTACCAGAAACTTCGCCAGTGCAGACTCTGCGAAATAACTGATTGAAGAGCTGTAATTGTGGAGATCTTTCTCGGTTAGAGATAGTAAAGTTAACTAGTGGGGTCGGGGTTTGGTTCTGCATCCCCACGTGATTGATACCATATGGTTAGCTTACTAAAACAATTTTTGTCAACATACCTAACTTAGTCACTTGCTAGATTAGGAAGGGAAAGATGGTGAAGGCAGAGCTCGAAACACGCGCAGGGAAGCGAGTGAAGGTACCGTATAAACATTCCCCCCGAAGCAGCCACTCGCTGGATTGAGAGTATAAGAAGGGCGTAATCACCGCTGGGAACCGCGTCGTAACTCGCAGTGCATGGCCACTTTAGTGGAATCGACATATTTCCACACAGCCAGAGCAATTCCATTAGTAAGTTTTCTTGGCCACTCACTGGATTAGGATAATAAAGAGAGCGTAAATTGGGCTAGAAGCACGGAAGGGGAAG